GNCTTGGTATGTTGTCATGCTCCCAGCTCGTTGCACCAAGTGATGGAGTTCCCTGCACAGTTTTCGATACAAACGCCGACCCGTTCGAAGATATCCTCGCGCTGGTACATTACTTCAATTGGCTACCCTTTCATCGGTGAAAATTTGTTTTGCTATGTGTCTGTTTGATCCTCCTGCTCTCTGCTACTTCATGCTGAGATTTGGGCTGAATACCGTTATGATCTATGTTCTGGTTTGAGTTGGGTTTAGAATTTCTTCAGTTGTTACCCTTTTCTCCCTCTACAGGTGAAGTTGGAAGCAGTGGTCCGCTGGCTCTTTCTGATCATATACAAACTCAACTTTCTTGACATGCCTGTTGCTTTGTGCCGTCAGTATTCCTGTCAAGCCAGCCTTGTTTCTGACTATGCTTGTACCCAGCAGGTCGGTTCCACGTGGGAAATCGGCATACCCCTGTGCCGAAGCTCCGACCTGTTCCATATACTACTACATAAACTATGGCACCATGGCCCAACTGGTGAGGGTACTTGCTTGCTGCAAATTTTTCCCAATTGCTTACTGCCACAATGCACTGGCATGCAACTGAACGTGATTATTCAAAATAATTCAGCCTGCACCGCGGACGGTTTTTCTGCCAACTTAGCTTACGCCTTGTTTTTTTTTGTCCTCAAATAGATGCACTTCTCTGCTACTTTCACAACGTTGCCTTTCCATGGCGAAAATCAACATGAACAAAGAGGTGATTCTAACGTCTAGACATATTAATTGTACGAGGCCGACTAACCTTTCAAACAGTACAATGTGGAAGGAGGGCACTGATAAGCACTCGAAGATCTGTGTAAAACATTTCAGTTGAGGAACATAGGTTCCTTGCTTCTCAGACGAACGCAGAGCAGTGAGCAATGTTATATGATACTATCGGCACCCATTCGAAAACTTGTGAGTCGTTTGACATGTTGCTTTCTCAGAACCAGCCCTCGGGCTTGAGGATAACCACTGGTCGCACTTGGATCAGCTTTGCCAACCGTGACAGAATATTTGAGCTCTATTCCAATAACAAAAATCTACCTGCACAAATAGTTTAAATAGCAACTTGTATAGCGTATGAAACATATGCTGAAGGTGAGCACGACCACTTCTTCTCGCCCTATTCCCCATAGGTTTCCTCAGCCAAATGCGAGGAAATGTCAGGGACATATTTTGTTCACGGGTGTCTTGAATACGTGTAATCTTGCGAGACACTTCAATTCACACAAACTATGCACTCCTCTGAACTGTAAATGCAATTAATATTTAGCGAGTTGGGAGGTGGCGGTGTCCGTTCCTCCAAGTGGTGCCACTGGAAACTGCTCACTTTTGTGAGCTGAGCTGAACACGGACATTCGAATGCAGGCGACAGGCCCCGTGACAGGCCGGCCTACGAATCGCCAGACCGAGGATATAGAAAAGTTCTTCGGCATAAATGACGAGAATGGCCACCTCTTGACGGACCGCAAGAAAACACTGAAGCGATGGCGTGACTACTTCGAAAACATCTCAACAGTCGAATTTACTCATCCCGCCAT